AATAATAATATTATTGTAATTATTCCTATTATTGTAACTTTTTACTTTCTTAAAATCTTGACAATTGTTACAATTTTGTTCCGATTTCCAAATATTTAAGGACATTTGCTCTCAATTATTTTCTTATTTAAGCTTAAATTTTATCTATTAGTTACATCTAAAATAATCAAAAATTGCAAATTTTCATTAAAATTATAGTTGAAAAATTGATTAAATTATAATTTTTTCATTTGCTTAAAATAATAATTTAAGTCAGCCGTCCACAGGAATAGCAAAATATCATTAGTACAAATAGCAAAGTGTAGTAATATTTGCTTTTTAGAATAAGTGGGAATTTCTATAAATTTATAAGATAATAATGATTGCAATTAGCTAAGGATTAATTAAAATTTGAAAATGAAAAAAAAACCAAATTAAAAATTTTATATTGTTGATAGCCTGCTTAGTCTACTTGATATTGTTGATATCTTACTTAGCTTACTTCGTATTGTTGATAGTTTGCATAACTTACTTCATATTGTCATTATTAGTTGGATCAACTGTATTAGATCTTTGTCGAACGATTACTGTTTGAAAACGTCGCTGTCTATTAAATGGTACCTCAAAAATGATTTCGTAGTTTTGTCTGATCCTTTCACCATTTGCCATCTGCAAAATTGATCATTAAATCATTGAATTCAAAATTTCAACATCTTATTTGAACGACATGAAATTATGTCGTTTGGAAAAAAAATCCGACAAATTTTTAAATATTGTCAATAACAGTTTTCTAGAAAAACAATTTTAATGATCAACTGCTCAAACGTTATCATTCATCCATCTAATATGAATTTAAAATATTAATATGAATTCAAACTAACAAATAATAACCCAATTTGTATAAAACTTTGAGGGATGAATTTTTCGATAGATTTTGATAAAGCTGATCATGTACAAGTGAAAAAGTTTTACTTTCAAATGATGAATAAAGTTTATTAATTATCATCATTTAATTAATTACTTTAGACTTCTTTTGTTCTCTTTTCCTCCCTCATTTTTTTTTCTCTCTCTCTCTCTCTCTCTCTCTCTGTCTCCCTTTAATTTATATATTTGATTAAAAGCTATGAAAAAATAATGTAAAAATTTAATGCTTCATCTGAATAATCATAATTTTTATTAAATTGTTGCTGCTACATGAATAATAGATATACCTTACTTCTTCGACATATTTCAGCAGTGCAACCTCATTTTCACTACCAGTAATTACTTTATGACGAAAAGCTGATCGTACTGTTCGTTCAACTTCAGCATCTGATATTTTACCACGTGATACTTTTCTAAAAAGAAAACGAAACCATTAACTATTTTCTATGCATTCATAATTTAGGAACAATTTAAATGAATTTCAATTTTTTATTTACCTAAAATTATATTATTTTAGTAAAGAATTCTATGAAAGCACGTACGCGAAATATTATAATCTTACCCATCTAATAGCGATTGTATTGTAATTGTATTACTTGTTCGTGAAAGTTTATTAACCATATTCCATGCGTAAATTCCACGTGAATTTATTGGTTCCAAATGTGCCTTATTGCATAAAGACATTACGGTAAAGAGTGCTATCAGACTATCATTATTACCTTCAGATAATGGTATCGATAAATCAGTTCCTGATAATTGATTCTGTTTTGCTTTTAATTCTTCGGTACCTAAATACAAAATATTATTAATTTTCAAACTTCTGTCTTAATTTAATTAATATTTAAGATAAACTTTATATTATATATTAATAACTTGAGAAGCATTGTAAAATTTAAATGGAAATATTTTAAATGATAAAAGCATGAAATTAAAAGAAAAGTAATGGAATTCGTATAGGGATATTGAAGTGAATATTGCAATAACGTTAACCGATCACTGGAATTATTTACGCTATCAATAATCAATGAATTTTTTTTCAGAAATGAAATAAATAAATACTTTTATTTGTATTTGAATTTTTATCAATGAAGTATATGAGTAGAAGTTAGAATTTATACATAAAAGAATTTTGAATTTTATGAATAAAAAATATATATATATTGATTGACTGATTGATTGATTGATTGATTGATAGATAACTGTCATCTTTTATAGCAATATAATATAGATAATCGTTAGGATTTATATATATACAGTGAATTTGAATTTCTATGAGTAAAATATACTGACAATGGACTGCAGATAATTGTTAGTTGAAGTTTATAATTTATGCATAATTGAAAATAACTTATATGGGCAAAATATACATATAGAAAATTGTTAATTTAAAAAAATATTAATAATAATAAAAAAATTGCAATCATAAACGTTTAAAAGGAATAATTTATATTATTTATTGATAATATTATCTGTTGATAACATTATTATTTGTTGATTTTTGTTGATAATATTGTTATTTGTTTGTTGATAATATTATCAACAAATAACGGAATAATTATACAAACCTTTGAAATAATGTAGTTGATACCATAAATCGGAAACGGTAATATCATTCAAAGTAAAAACACCCGTCTTATCACACATTACAACCGTTGCTGTACCTAATGTTTCCACAACATCTAATCGTTTCATAAATATATTTTGTTTAGCTAAACGTCGTGCAACAATTGCTAATGCTGCACCTAGTGTAATCGGTAAGCCTAAAACAAATTCACATCAAAATCTGAATAAAATTTCATGGAATTAGTGCCTAAATTACCCTTAATGTTAACTTCGAAACTAATTATTTATAGTGAACTGATCAAATTTATCGATAGATATAAAATAGAAAACTTGACAAAATTTCTAAAATTTCATTAAATTAGCGTATACATATAATTAATGTGATTTCGAAACCAATTATTTACAGTGGACTAATTAAATTTATCAATAATCCCAAGACAAAAAAAAACTAAGAAATTTTATAAAATTTATAAAGTTCTGTTAAATTAGTATATGTATTATTATTAGTGTTAACTTCGGAACCATTTAGTTACAATGGACTAATTAAATTTGACTAAATCATCATTTAAAAAAAATAAATGATTGAGAAAGTTGTACAATACATAAATGATTAAGAAAGTTCAAGAAATATCTAATAATTATTTTGAAATTAACTTATGAAGAATAAAATTTCTCAGTTATTATCCTTATTAGCAATTGTTATAATTCTCTCAATTTAAAAAAATTTAATTACTAAAATAAAAAAAAAAGCAAAAAAAGATTTATTATAAAACCTTGGGGAATATTTGCGATAATAATAACAAGGAAGCCATTTACAAATGTATTAATGACATGTTGAAAATTGGTAAGTAATAAGCCAATAACAAATGTAATGGTAGCCATTGTAATTGCTAATAGTGAAATAAAATTAACGAAACGTTTATGTTCCAATTCTAAACGTGTTGGTACACCTTTTTGTTTCGATGTTACTCGTGCAATTTTACCAATTATCTAGAAAATAACGAGATTTTGATTGTTAAATGCATTAATTATATATATATATATATGATTTAAAATTAACATTTCTCGTCTTTTATTTCATTCCTTCTTTTTTAAATTTAATCTTATTTCTTTTTACTATTTGATGAATTTAATTTTCTAGTATTACATTTATTTCGCTGTGTGTGTGTGTGTGTGTGTGTGTGTGT